AAACTTTATAAGTCTTTCATACCGACTATGATACAAAAACGATAGTGCAAAATAATTCAGAATTATACGTTAGATGCCCCAGGACATCATTTCATGGGTATATTGATTTTACGCGAATTTCACGATGAAACGTATAGTTTTTCACTTTATTGTCTATTATTTTGTGTTATTTGTTGTGCGTTAGTAATTATAATTGATATATATATATATATATATATATATATATATATATATATATATATATATATATATATATATATATATATATATATATATATATATATTGTTTTAAATTTGTTAGGCATACATATTGCCATTCATACTCGTATGATAGGTTGTTCCAAACTATGTATGGTGTACCTTTATTATAAAATAATTATAATTATTTTTCAAATCTTACCGCGTCAAAAATGCCAGCTCCATCACCGTCAACATGTATAACATCAATGAATTTTGCATCATTCGGGTCTAATCTACACTCTGATTCTTCATCCTTGTAACTTGGACCAGCTGGGTCGGTGCCTTGAACAAATCAGAGTCTTCACACATAGGCATGATGTCAAAACATGAGAAGGGTGACAATTACCATTCTACACACAGAGCTAGATTTGAAGCATGTGTGAATTAAGGCTACTGCTGAACCAAGTAAACGTAATACTCCGTAAATTACAACAAGTACAATTGAGTTCAACTATTTGATGTATAAGATGCATACACATACCACTAATCCTACCGAGACGTTCCATTCTCTCCCCAGCATGGCCACAGACATGTGCCCCAAGACTATGGCCAATTAAATGAACCATGTCTCCCGTGTATCCTACCGCAGAATCTAAGAAGCGTACAAAGGCGTCGATTTCAGCACCCACCACATTAGTGTTGGCTACTGCCTTGGGATAAATAAGAACTGATCCACCTTGCCAATCGACGATAAAGACATTTAGATCTTCTGTCTTGAGGAAAGAATGCAGATTGAAAATCCTTCAATTTTTTGATAATGCGTTTGGCTGGTGAGCGTATGTGTAAATGAGAATGAGTGAGTGACACACAAATTACATACCGAATTGAGAAATGTGTCTTTCATTTGATGTAGCCATTCACCCTCGCCACTGGAATTTGGTATCCTTCGTCTTGTCGAAATGGGATTTGGATAGACTTGTTGGATCATATCTACTAACAATGTCACGCTCATTTGGGTTATGTCTCGTATACAGCCAGAATCCAGTATTAATGACACCAGGGTGGTCAGGAAGGAAGTTAGTGTTATTGCATGGTGGATCATTTGTGAAGCACCCTAAGTCTTCGTATATTGTACCATTCCAACATACGGTGTCGCTACTGACTAAAAATAGGGATGAGTTGTTAGATTTTGGCTTCTATATCAAGATAATGAATATGTATGTATATTCATTAAGTAATATTTTCTAAGTTGTATGAATTAATCCACATGGAAAGAATTAAAATAACATGAAAATACAATATTTGGGACTGTACGCGTGGTGACGTGGTCACTGCCACACAACGTCACTTTTTTTTGCAGTGTTTCAAGCTTCATATTCATGTCTGAGATATATTGTTACATGGCAATCATTTTTGATGTGACGCAGTTAATATCATGTCTGTGTATGTGTACATTGTGGTGTCTGTGTTGGGTTTGGTAATTAAAGTCCAGTGTGTTCAGTATAATTCATTTCCCGTAGGCGACTAACACAACAAGTATGTATCATATATCATACAACCTTGAGTGGCGAGACAGAA